AGAACCCCTGTACACACAATCCCCGCCAGTCATGTTTCTATCCTGACTATAGCCTTATGATCATGCCCAACGGCAAGCCACCCGCAAGTTGAGAATAAACATTTTAATTAATACGACCGAAAATAAATTCTTCGTTTGCGGACTCACGTTTTGGACAACTTGAATTGCACACACCACAGCAATGTTCAACGCAACAGAAGTCGACGTGGTACTATACTTAATACACTCACACCAACCGTCGCCGGTACTATTCAGCCTTTCTCAAAGCAGGCAAAATCCATGTCTATGTCCCTTGACTACAACATGGATCCAGGTACACAAGACCACCAATTGCGGATCGCCAGTCGCAGATGTCGAGGCTTGGCGCAGCAGGATTCGCAACTGAACAGTCAACTGCCTGATGATGGCCGTAGACCTCCTTGGTTCCAGCCCCTTTAGCTCATCCACTACACGATTCAGTTATCTATGCAGGCCGTCCAAATATGTCGGCCGTTGGGTGGCAAAAGATGTAAGAGGTACATCCTGTCCCGGTTGGTTGTAATCAGACCGCCGCTATAGGTGGATGTGAAAGCAATTTAATAAGATATATATAAAGAATATTCCAAACTGCTTGAAACCGACTAGTCTCTAAATACTGAGAACGAATGAAAGCTTGGCGACTACATTGCCTGGTAAAGGGACATGTACGTTCTCTAACACAGGTGTCAACCATCTTGTAGCAGCTGAGCACCAGGAACCATAAGTTGGTTAATGTAGACTGACCTCACCTCGTTTGTTCCAAAGCCACGATAGTGAGGATTTGGGGTTCTCTGTTCCGATTCCATCAAAGCGAGGGAAAGTGCGTACGTAGTCATTTGAGAGAAAACGTTCCGGACGTAGCCGTAACAATCCAGGGTTTCCATCCGGTCGAAGTGATATGACTTGTGTATCGCATATTCCGGCACAAGCCACGGGACGTGCCGTAATAACTGTTGCTTCGGTGTGTCTGAGTGGTGCACCGGTATTTTAGTCGGCATTCTGCGGACGGTTTTCGGTCACATCACCATAC